TAGAACCGGATAGTATCTAATATAGTAGCCGAACTTATTATAGTTATAATATTTAATAATTGAGAGATTCTCGGTTTTTATAGGATATTACTTATACTTATAAGGGGGTATATACTTAATAAGAGTAGTTAATATGGGCTTCTTGGGCTCTTCCTTAAAAATATATAAGAGTATAGTACTAGAAGTAAATTTGGCTAGAATAGCTCTTGCTTTTTTATATTCCTTAGTCTTCTTATATATAGCCTTAATCTGCTAATTATTAGTAGTATAATACTAAGTAAAGCAAGTAGTATTAATAGAAGAATTATTATAGTATATATATACTAACTCCTGGAGCTTTATTTTTATTTTTATTTTTTTTATTTTTTCCTTTTAACGTACTTTATTAGTTTAGAACTATATAGCACGGCCAGCTAAGCTAGCGTGTGTTTTAGTAGCTAATATACAGGCCCAAATTCCAATATAGGTGTAATAAATGGTTGGGGACGTACCCCTGGAACAAAAACTTAAGGAAATAAAGAAATTCTCCCCTATTTCCCTATTTCCCTTTTCCTTTTTCCCTATTCCCCCTTTCCTATTTCCTCCCCTATTTCCTCCCCTATTCCTCCCTATTTCCTCCCCTATTTCCTCCCCTATTTCCTCTCCTATTTCCCCCCCTATTTCCACTACTTCCACCTCTTCCACTTCCACGCTTCGCTCAATATACCATTTTCTTGTATATATACTAGTTTCTTTTAAGAATACTAGTATATTTGATATCCCAATTTCCGTATATAATAGTAACCGTAGGTTAAAAGCACTAGCTTCCAAGCTCCCTTTGAATAGACTAAATAGTCTAAAACGTTCCTCTCTATATAGTATACAATATAGAAGAAGGTGCTTTGTATTCTCAGTTTTGCCACATTTGTATTTATTATTAGACGCTATTTTTAGCCTATATAAATAGGACTTTAAATATCCGTAGCCTAGCTTTAGCTAGAAGAAGGCACTAGCTATAGGCCTAAGTATTCCTATAGGTAGGTTTATTTTTCTGGTTACTTTCCACGGATATATATTACTATATGATTCTAGCTGGGTTTTCGGTTTAGTATAAGATTCTAAAAGTAGTCTATACTCTAGTTTCTTAACTTTATTAATTTCGACCCCTAGGAAAGCAAAGAAGGTTTTTACTAATTCAGGTTCTAATATAGGAGAAGTAGTGCCTAGCTTAGCTAGCTCGTCAGCTTCTTCGTTCCCTATTATATCTGTGTGCCCTGGAACCCAGATTAGTTCTATATTAGCTCCTTTAGCTTTAAGGGCCTTAGTAGCTAATATAGCTCTAATCTGTTGGCTTTGGCCAGGTTTATCAGACGGAGTTTTTAATCTTAGTAAACCAGCTTGGTTATCTGTATAGATATTAAAAAGCTCCCCTCTCTTTGCTTTACTACTAGCATATTCAATAGCCCTAGTAACGCCTTCTAGTTCTCCGTTATAGACTATAGCACTAGCTCCTATATTCTGGCTTTCTCTATATTTAGCTACGACCGGAATATAAGGAGTTTCGTGACTATAAACTGCGAGCCCTAGGCCTACTCCGATTCCTTTTTCAGTCTGAGATCCGTCTATATATATAGATAGTACGGAGCTATTATTATATAAAGTCTTTAGATAGAAATTATATAATATAGCAGTCTCTTTCTTTAGCTGTTTTGATATAGTAATTTTATAAGGTACTTCTCTGTTCCAGGAAGTAAAGTAAAAGTGTCTTATAGTCTCTAGATCTCTAGGGTCTACTAGATTACTAATAGAATCCACTATAGTTTCTATTTGAGACTTTTTAGCCAAGCGATCTCGCTTTAGACAAGTATTATATAAACTATAAAGAAGTCAGAGTGCTCATAACAGATGCTATTACATCTCTAAATCGCGCTAGAATCTTGGAAGGACATATCATACAGACTGCTAGATACTAATGGTGTTTTAGACTTAGTTTAAGGATTCGGCAAGGCATCATCGAGACGTCCGACCTCATGGTTTGAGGCCTTATAAGTAGGTCGGAGCTAAGCTAAGTTCGAGACCCCCTCCCCATAGGAATAATAGAGGAGACAATATATATAAAATACCTCCTAAGTTCGCTTCTCTAGGCTAAGGTTTTGATAGCCTGTACAGGCCCGAATCAATGGAGCGTTTGATTCTTCCAGTCCTTAAAAAAAAAAAAAAAAAAAAAAAAATAAAGTTACTTTTGGAGTTAAATTGCGGCTTATATGCGGATATGCCCGAAGGTTTCGTTTTGTTCGGGAAAAATATCCCACTCGTCTCTGAAATATTTATCATAGCGCGCCAAATAGAAATAGATCCCTAGCCATTTGACTACTTTGCTAGGGGAAACTAGTTCCCTATTAGGTAGTTTTAGACTAGGCTTATTTTTGGAATTATTAAAATGAATAAGCTCAGTTTTATCTATATTAAAGCTAATAGCATTCTTTTTCCCTAAATCGACTATATCCTTTACTTCCCGTTCTAGGGTCTTTATATTCTTTTTAAGACTTTTAGAAGCGGTAGTAAGGGATATATTATCTAAATAGGATCTGAATTTAATATTTGCAGATTTAAATAAGTCTCGGATATAGATAAGAAATAGTATAGGGGATATAGGGCTCCCTTGTGGAATACCAGTAAGTATAGACCTAAATGCTTTAATATTATTATCAAAAGCTAGCCTTAATACCCGGTCGTCTAGGAATAACGATACCTATAGAATAAGGCTAGTAGGTAGTAGTAAACTAATCATAATCTGTAATAGCCTATTCTTGGACACGTGATCGAAGGCGCCTTTGACATCTAGGAAGAGAGTACTAGTTTTCAGCTTATAGGACTTATTTGATTCTACTTTATTTTGTAATAGTAGAGCAGTATTAATAGCTAACTTGTAGAGCCTACCTCTCATTTGAGTATGGTGTAGTAGGTTACTAGTCTCGGCTAAATAGCTAAGTCGCCTAGCTAGTATTCTCTCAGAAACCTTCCCTAAGTAATTAAGTAGGGAAATAACTTGATATACTTTAGGTAGGGAATAATTTGGTTTCCCTGATTTCTTTAGAATAAAGCCAGTAGCTTGTTTCCAGACTTTAGGGTAGTATCCTTTATTAATAAATAAGGAATATAGCCTATAAAAGATGTCTGGAGAAGCTCTATAAGCGTAAACTATAATCTCTTGAGTAACTAAGTCTGGTCCAGGGGTTTTCCCTTTTATCTTAGAAGTACAGGCTTATTCTAGTTCTATTTTAGATAAAATAGGCCAGTCCCACTTTGAGCTAGGCCTATAGTCTATTAGACTAATAGGTGCTGCACTAGGAGGGAGTGGGAAAAGCACAGTTCTAAAGATATTACACTTCTCTTGGAAAGTCGATTTTAGCTCATTTGAGCTATTACTATTTAGGATACTAGGAATAGGTTAATATATAGTATCCTTAGTATATTTCATAGCTTTATAAATCGACTGGGAGTCTTTATTCTCTAAGAACTTATTCCAGTATACTAGTTTAGTGCTTTTAATAGCATTAAAATAGGTATTCTTTATATTTTGGAGTTCTTGTTTATAGAGAGTATACCCTAAAGCTTTATACTTACGGCTATAGTATAGTATTGATTTACATAAGGTTTTTAAGTCTTTATTCCACCAGGGTTTAGAATACGGACTAGTAGTAGATTTTGGAATACTATTACTAGCTGCTTCTACTATTCTATTAGTAAAGTCTTCTGCTAATAGGTCTAGTTCCTGGGTTCCAGGTATACTAGTAAGTGGAAAGGGTATATTCTCAAGGCTATTAGTAAGATAGCTTATAAATTTAGCCCAGTCCGCTTTTTTAGTATTAAATCTGACTGGATTAGAACTAGGCCTATAAGTCGACTTACTAATAGTAAATAGTACCCCAAAGTAATCTGAACCTAAGTCTGGTAGCACTTGCCAGTCTTTGATCTTAGTTACTATTCCACTAGTAGCAAAACTTAAGTCTAATACGGAAGGAATGGACATATTAGGCCTATAGAAGGTACCTTCCCCTATTTTATTTAATAGCCTTAAAGAGTGGTTCTCTATATAGCTAATTAAATAGATTGCATGAGTACTTTGAGGTTTAAGGGAATCCTACCAAGGATAATACATATTAAAATCACCTAGTAATAGAGAGCTATCTAAGAGAGTAGTAGGTAAAATATCCTCTCTTAGTATAGTTAATATACTATTAGGGTCTTCTGAGTAAACTATATTATAGAAATTAATTAGCTGCATTTTTAGTATACCTAGACTCAAGTCTATAATTAGGCAATTAGGATTACTTAGTGAGTTTTGAGCTAGACTAGCCTGTAGTTCGCAAGCTACGTAAACTAGAGTTCTAGGTCTCAAGGTACCGTAATTCGGGAGTATTTGGAAATAGCTAGGGTATATAATAGAACGATATCCCCGATTAGTACTATTCCTTGCTATAATCCAGGGCTCTTGAATTACTAGGACTTTAATATCCAGTTCTATAGCCATTTGCAAGACGTTTTCAGTAGTAGGGCTACTACGATTTATATTAATTTGTAGTACTTTAATATAGCTACTTATTAATAGTAATAGTAGGAGTAGTAGTAGCTTGTTTAATTACTAAGTAGACCTCACATAGCTTAGAACTAGCTGAGTGGGTAGTACTAGAGCAGTTGGCGTATTTAGTAGTTATATAGGGGCATTTTTTATCCTTCTTTTTATAGATAGAGCAGAAATGGTTCTCTATTACGTGCTCCTTACCATATAGCAAGCACTTAGGGTCTTTTTTGCAAATAGAGTCTAAGTACCCGTACCCTGTACACTTAGTACACTATATAGTACTAGAGATAGTATGGTATTTTACTACTTTAGCAGAGATTCCGGCTATAAGGAGTCTGTTTTTAATAGCTCTATTAGCTTGAATCTCGGTAGGGAATACTACTACTACTAAACCGGCTCACTAGAGGCCTGAGTCTCTCTTTTCCTTAGAAGTAGCCTAATAGGGCTGGCCAATAGGCTCTAGACCCTTATTAAAGGTCTTGATCTTTTCTAGGACTAAGTCTATTTCTTCGGATATATCGAAATCACGAATAGGTAGACCGTAGATAATAACTTTATACCAGGGCTCTCCTTTTTATATACTTTTTACTAAGGGAAGCACCCCCTTTATAGTAGCTTCGTTTTGAACCAAAAAGTCAGAGTTGAACTCAGGGGTAGTATTAACTATAATATTACCCTTTGAGGAAAGAGAGACTATAGAGATTACTAGTCCCTTAATTCCCTTAGTACGGAAAGCATTATTAAGCAAATTGCAGACGGAAATAGCTGAAAACAAGCTAGCCTGCTCTATATGAGCTAGTAGGAAGGTGCTTTTCCTAGAGAGGGCTATAGATTTTGTACTAGTATCACGGGCACTAGAACCACTAGGTGGTTTCTTAGTATTACGAGCACTACCGCCACTAGTAAGTATACTAGGGCCTTTTCCTCCCTGATTTTTGGACTTAGTATATAATACTATAGTCCAGTCCTTTTCCGAGTATAGTAGTTCTTGAGTAGCGATTTTAGCCCAAGTAGGCTTTCCGGAGGTAGTTTTAGCTTGAATAGCTTGAGTATCTGGTTTAGCTTGAGTTCTTGCTTGAATTTCGATCCGTTTAGTAGCATTTTCGAGGTTTGCTACTTGGGAGGCTAGTAAAGTACTAGTATGGCGGATACGGCCGAATTCAGTATATTCTCTGAAGATTTCTACTAGATCTAGTAGTCGAGATTGCTGGTCATGTAACGGAGTAATAGTAATAGCTTTGACTATTAAGTCCCGGGCTTGACCAAATCAGTAATTTAAGCTTCATTTAAAGCTTGATTCTGGTACTAGTAGTGGTTTCCGTGGTTTTGGTATATTCCTTATTAATATCACTATTAAATCGCTCGAGCTAGGGCCCCGCTTTAGCCCGTTCTGGAGGGGCTCAGTCGAGCCGCACTAGCCGAATTAGGCTGAGGAAAAGGGGCTGCGAGTTCGTCTGAGGAGATGGGATTTATAGCTAAATCGAATGCGAATTGAGCTCCCTGGCTGAAAACGAGCTATGTGGGGAGCTAGTATAGCTCTAGCTGTCCGCTAGGGCCCTCAGGAAGCTCTCCGAGCTCTTGGGAGTCAATGGAGGGGGGGCTAGAGCCCGGGGGGTCAGGGGGGGCCATTTAGCCTGTTCTAGTTCTACTTATAGTAGGTTCTAGAGCCTGGGGCTAAAGGGCTGAAGTATATGGAGTGAGTTCTGAAGGTGAGTGAAGTGTGGGTGTGAAAGTAGGGGGGGTAAAAAAAACCGTCCTGGAGCTTTAGTATGAGCTTCTTATTTAGTTTATACTTAATATCTTAAAGACTAATACCGCTTTCTATAAATAGTTATAAGAAGAGAATATAGAACTCCTGAAATACTTAACTAGAGTATATTTAAAGCTTACTAAAGTTATAGTAAGTATTCTATATCTTATTAGAATTAGAGTATAGCTTCTTTAGGTAAGAATAGAGCTCTGAGAGCTAATAGTACTAATTCGGACTATTTTTGTCTATATAAGGATTAGTTAGGGCAAGAGTATTACTAGTAAGTTTACTAGAAATATAGATAATCTTAAGATTCTCTAAGGAATATGAATTAGTATTTCCTTATAGCTTGTTCTTAACCTGAACTAGCCAGTTATTAAAGGTAGTATAATCTCTAGTAAAGAGAGTTGGATCTAGGAGCTTAGTAACTCTAGTATCTCTAAAAAGAGTATAAGATATAGGGAATCCTGGACGGAAATAAGCAGGAAATGGTTCGGAATTCTTTTGAGAGGGGTTTGGAGTAGCTAGAGTAGGCAAAGTAGAAGTAGTTAGAGCTACTATAAGCCGATCTACTATAGCCGTATAGTACTTAATATTATTCTCGAGCTTGGTATTATAGAGCTTGGTATTCTCGAAAATAGCTTTATTATAGCTATAGGTATTCTTGTATAAAATAGCTCTTTGGATATTTTCCCGGTAGCTCTTTATAATAATATTAATATCTGAGAGTAAGGTATCGGGTTCCTTGGCCTATTCGTATAACTCTCTAGTAATAATATAGTCTTTGGTCTCTAGAAGCTTTATAATAAAAGTAGAGGGTTCTATTTCTATAGACTTGTCTATAAATTCTCCAGGAATACTAACGGGATATTCGGTTCGGGAAGGGCCGCTAACGGAATGACCTGAACTAGTAGGAGCTTTACCGGAAGCCTTGGCAGAAGTCGATATAGTTCCTGGTTATATAGTATTCTAGAAAATCGACCTATTATACTTTTCCTCTATTATATCCTCCCTGGCAGTCTCATTACCGGTATATATATAGGGCCTATAAGGTTATAGGATAGGGCTTAAGGATAGTAGTTAGGTTACTGGCTTATAGGTGCCTATTACTCTAGGACTTGGTTAAAGAGTAGCCTTTATTCGAGGTTCTTCGATTTTCGGGTTTTTGGAGGGGTTTCTAATATACTACTAGTATATATTTATAAAGGTATAAATACCTGATTTCTTTGAGGATTCTGAAGCTTTTCGCTTTTATTATTCTGGAGTCTATTATTTGTATTTCTGAGGTTCTGTTATCTTGGCGGCGCCTATATTACTAATAGTTCTGAATTGGTTTATTTAAAATCCTCTATAGGATTAAAGGAAGTAAGCTTTAAATACTATTACGGGTATAGTATTCAGGGCTTGGAAAGCAAGGTAGAAGGTCCCTTATAAAGACGATTTAAAGCTAAAGAAGGGAAAACTAGAATACAGGAGGCTGCAAGGGAGTATATATACCCTATAGTATACTAGTCCCAAAGGGGCTAGCTTTCTAAATATCTCTAGTATATTCCAAGCATATTTCCCTAGTGAGGCGGCCGCGTCACGTGCGCCTAGGAGGCATCTGGGAATCATAATAGCTATTATAAATCTTATATTTTTCTTTATATAATTTCTAAGATTTCTAATTTTAAATATAATTTTAAATATATAATAGCTTTATTTATAAAATATATAAATTTATAATTCAAGATTAGAACTATTTATTTTATTATTAAAAATCTTAATATAAAATAAAATAAATAAATTACTAACTTTTAATTTATAAATAATAAATTATATATAAGTTTTAATAGATTTATTTTCTTATTTAATAAAAAGAAATAAAAAAAGAAATATAGAAGTTTTTTTTTAGCTAGCTTAATAAATATTTAAAAAGCCCTAATTCGGAAAAAGAAAACTAATTTTTATATAAAACTTCTAAAATAATATAAAAGCTTTTAAAAGATATTCTATTTAATTAAAATAAAAAAATTATTATTTATTTAAAACTAAAAAAAGAATTATTAAATTAAATTAAAAAAGAATTTAATAAAAAAGAATTTATTATATTATAAGGCTTATTATATAATATATCTCGAAATAAATTTCTAATATTATAGAAAATATTTATAAAATTACTAAATAAAGAATTTATTTAAATAAATTATTCTTTTATTATTATTTTTATTAATTTATAAAACTTTTTAAAATATTAGAAAAGTATTATAAAACCGGGTTTTTAAACTTAGAAAATAAAATAAAATAGCTTTTAATTTAAGAATTCTAAACTAAAAAAAGATTTTATAAATATAGAAGCTTTAATATTCTAAATACTAGCTAGTTATATATATTATTACGGTTATATAATACTAAATTTACTAGTAAAGTAATAAAATATAATAAAAGTAAAATAATTTATAAAATTTATATTATTAAAAGAAATAAATAGAAAATAGCCTTTTATATAAAATATAAATTCTATAAATAATTAATAACTTTTTTTAATCTAATAAATATTTCAAATATATTTCAGAAATATATTAATTAAATTCTTAGAAATTTTCTAAATAAATACTATTTTATTTATATAAATAATATTCTAATTTATTTATTAAAATTAAAAGAAAAATACTATAAATATATATAGAAAGTTTTTTAATAATTTTAAAAAGTAAATTTATAACTAAATATTAATAAAATTAAAATTAAAATTAAATTAATAAAATACTTGAAATTTATTATAGAAGCCAGAAAAGGTATTTATATAAATCTAATAAAACTTAAAGCTATTTTAAATTAGAAAGTTCTAAAATTAGTAAAAGATATATAAAGTTTTCTAGAATTTATTAATTTTTATAAATATTTTATTTGGGAATTTTTAGAAATTATTTAATTACTATTTAATTATATATATAAGAATCGAATATTCTTATAAATAAATAAAATAGAAACTGCTTTTTAAAAGCTTAAAAAGATATTTATTTCGGGTTTAATACTAATATAATTTAATTATAATTAGAAAATAGTTCTTAAAATAGATTTCTTTAAATAAAATATAAATAAAATTCTTATATAAATTAATAAAGAAAATATTTTATAATTTTATAATTTTTTTCCGAAAAAGAATAATTTTATAAAATATAATTATAAGATTTTATTAATTTATATAATATATAATATTATTATATAAATATAAAATACTATTATATAAAATTAATAAAGTTATTATTATTTAGAAATAGAAAATATAATATTATAGTATTAATATATAATTCCTAAATTTATTAAGCCTAATAGGATCTAGTTTATTAATTAAGTTACTTATATCCCGTATCCTGTATTTTATAATTATATATATAACTTTTAAAGAAATAGCTATATTAATATTAGAAACTTTCTAAAAAATACGAAAAATAATACTTTTCTCTAATTATATATAAATTCTCTAATTTAGTCTAATACTAGATTTCCTAAATATTTTATATATTTATATTATTTTTAAGGTTTTAGTTATATATTAAAGGCTATAATCTTTTATATATAACTTTCTTTTTTATAATATTTTTTATTTTATAAATTTATTTCCTATTTTATTTATATTTAATTTATTTCTTTATATTTAATTTATTTCTTTATATTTAATTTATTTCTTTATATTTAATTTATTTCTTTATATTTAATTTATTTCTATAATTCAATTTATTTCTTTATATTTAATTTATTTCTTTATATTTAATTTATTTCTTTATATTTAATCTATTTCTTTATATTGTACACTTTAATCTTCTTTATATTGAATTATATTTCTTTATATTTAATTTATTTCTTTATATTTAATTTATTTCTTTATATTTAATTTATTTCTTTATATTTAATTTATTTCTTTATATTTAATTATATAATATTTATATTAATTAGATATTTAAGAATATTTATTAGCTTGTATTTTATTATAGAATTAATAGAATTTAATTCTTTTTTAATTTATTTAACTTTTATAATCTCTTATTATTTATATATTTAATAAAAATTTATTATATTAATTATTAAATACTTTTCTCGAATAGTTTTTAATTTAATTTAATATTTATATAATAATTTCAAATTTATATAAATTATTAATAATAGTTCTATTTCTAATATTCTATTAATTATAGAGTTAATTAAAGTACTTATATTAAAGCCATAAACTATATTATAGAATTCTAAAGCTAGAATATTTCTAGTAATTCTCTTATATTTAGTAAAGAACTAATAAATAATATTAGTATATCTAGTTTTATTTACTAGAACTAGAATATATTTAATTTAGGAAAAGAGATCTTTATTATTTATAAATAAAGTATTTATAAAAATAATTAAATATAAAAACTTTTTTACTAGTTTTATAAATTTCAGTTTTCTAATAATATTCTTAATTTATTATTAAATATATTTATTAAATACCTTTATATTAGTTTCCGAAAATTTAATAGCTTAAATAATAATTA